CATAACAACAGTGTGCAGTAAGCTCTGTTACTGTCCCAGTTTTAGAGCTGTGAATACCAAGACCAGGGAGGTTAAGACACTTGCTCAAGGTCACACAGCTAGTAAGTGGAAGACGTGGGATTCACAACAGGCTCACTGCCTTACAGGAATGGAATTATACACAGGACTCTCTCTCCTTCTTGAAGTGGAATTGCTCTAGCATTCTCCATTCACTCGAGGAGGTTGTTTATTTAAATCTATAATACTCCTTCATTTCACTAGCATTTTACTTTGTAGTAAGATTTTACAGAGCTTTCTACTGATGAGCTCTTTATCCCACATACCTGCTCCCCAGTGGGAAGAGAGAAAACCTCTGGAGACGACCTCCCTCCTTCTGCCAGCATGGCATAGTAGGCCAGAGCTGCTTCCCAATTTCCTTTGGGGTCATCTTCCAAAATATCCACTGGGTAAATGCCTGCTGGGGGAAAAAGAAGGCGAGAAATAACATCAGTTTTACTCTTCTGTCGAAGGGTAAGTCACTTATTTCTTGAAAATCAAAAAAGAAACAAATGCACCCAATTGGACACTCACTTTAAAAATTACATTCCCGTATTTTTTTAAAATGAAAAAGGCACCAAAAGAAAGTAGAAGACATTCTCAGTGGCAGGTTTGGCCCCAGCCCCAAGGAGGCATTAGGTTCAAGACCCCCTTAGACTGCTACGAAAACTTCCTTGCACACACCCGAACCCCCAGAAGGTTTCCCGAGTACTCTCCCAGAGGGTCAGCCACAGCAGCCTGGGTAAAAGCGGGGTATCTTAAGAGCTGACACCAGCTGGTTAGAACCTTGATAACTTTGACAAAATCTGGCTTGAGTTATTATTTTGATAGCTTTCATGTGCCATGCAGATTGATTAAGATGTGCCAATTCCTCTCCGTTAATTAGGCCACTGTTTTGTAAGAGCTTAAATGTACTAGTTAGTATGAATTAAACCCACATGTCCGCAGACACCTAGATTACTGTACTTAATAATTTGCAAATTACCCCCCAGCTCTTCTTCAGTATCTTTTTCTTATCACCACACTTTTAGAGGAAAATGATATCCTTGAATGATCATACAAATTGATAGCACCCAATTCAGCTTGGAAGCCTCAACTGGTGTTCCCCTGAGACGTCGGCTGGCTGCCCAGGAGGAGGGTCTGCTTCCCTTTCCCTTTTTTTGTTTCCTTCTTTTTTTTTTCTTTTGTTCTTCTTTTGGGGGGGCTGCCTAAGCATCTGTCTGATCCTCCTCCCCCTCTTCCCTCCACCTCCTCAAGAAAGATAAGCCTGCAAATAAATGCCCCCTGGAATATCAGCTTTCCACCTTTCTCTCAGAATCTCCATTTTTCCTGCCTGCCATTTTTCTGGAAACAGACTGATATTAGCAACAAAAAGTTTCAGGTCTCCAGCCCACCAAGTCTGCCTGTGATGAATTTTACTACCGTTGATGAGCTTCAGGAACAAAGGCTCACAGAAAACAGAGCACATCAAGAGTGGTGGTGAGCAAGCCTCCCCTCGGCACAGGCCAGCCCCCCGCCCCTGGCTTTACCTGGGGAAAATGTCCCGGGCACATGCAGAGGAGCAAAGGCCGAGTACATACATTCCCCCGCTCTTCCATTTTTTTAAAGTACTTGAGTGTAAAATTCATACCAAAAAATTATAACTATAAATACGCTGATACAAATGTTTCAAATAAAGATATGAAGAACTCACGGCCATCAGTGTCTGTGAATGAGTCGATAAAGAACTTTGGGATCTGGCTTTAAAAATGGTCATGCCTCTATACAGCCAATATTCTGCTGTGAAAGATACACCTTGTGCATGTGCATGTGTGCGTGTCCCCTACACACACACAGAGTCAAGGAAGTCCAGACTCCTCGCCAGAGTGAGCAACTGATCAGACGTGGCCTCCAGCCTGAACTGAAGGGGTCTTCCAAGCAAACGCAGCTCAGGAGCAGGAAGGATCCAAGTCGGAATCCTTGGCTCCTACCTCAGAGCCCATTGCACACCTGTCACCACGACCAAGCTCACCTGTACGACCTCTCCCTAGAGGTGCCTATGCTTAGCCCAACTTAGTTTAGGGCCTCTGCCTCTCACAAGGCCTCTGGCCTCACCCCCACCCCCCCCCACATCTACCTTCCACCTGCCACCAATTAAAAAACCCACCCAGTTCCCTGGGCTCCAGGGCCTGCAGGATGGTGAGCACGCTACACCCGTCTGTCACTGAGTCCCACTCAACTCCCATTTACAGATGAGGCCAGGAGGAGAATGCGTGGCTAGTCCACAGTAACATCAGGCCGTGAAGGTCTGTCTGGTATCAAAATCTGGGTAAAGTGCTCAGATTATGTCAGTGACCCCATCAAAACAGTCTGTCTACTCTCCCCAGCCTCAAAGGTCCTTACCATTCCATGTGCCCTTCCTCCATAGCACCTAACATGATCCTGCACCCCCACACCCACTCCTTCTGCCTGATGTCCTCAAGGCCCATCTCAAACACCAGCACTGCCAGAAGCCTTCCCACGACCCCAAAGGCAAGGGGTCTGGGAATCACTCAGTCCTGAATTCAAATCCTAACTTAGTTTAAGTTGGACCTTTGCCGTTTTCTGGTTCTGCAGGGCCTCATGCACCTGAACAGTCAGCCTTTTACAGTCATCAGGAGGGGAGGCAGCCTCCCCGACTCCACCCCCAATGCAGGAAGGCAGACAGTGGCTGGGGGCCTACTGCATGCAAACTTCTCTCACCACACCACTGAGACCCCTCCATGGTCCGCACCATACTGTGCACTTAGGAGATTTGGCTGGGTGGCCAGCTGAGCTCCCTGGTTCCAAATGCTATTCATTTGCATCTAGTTGGTTAAGTGGCTTCCCACAGGTATGAAAAGATTCAGTGCACATTCAAATAAATTAAGAAACACACACTAAAAAGACCCGGGTTGTACACCTGTTGCAGGCTGTACCCCTGTTGCATGAAAACAACTTCCACAGCCACCCTTCTCAAGACACCCCCAGGAACACCCCTCAGTGAGCAAGTAAAGACCCTACCCCCCTTTTCCTCTGTGCTGCTGGCCCTGTCTTGGCTGAGGTGCTGTCCAGAGCATGGCCTTCGGATCACTCCAGCAGGGTTGAGAGCCAAAGGAGCTGGTTATCAGCCAGCTCAGAGCTGAACTCGGCCCCTGACAAATGCCCGTGACAGGGCCACTTGGAAGACACTGTGGTCTTCAGGTTGATGGAAAAGGAGCACCTCACCCACAGGCACCAGCCCACAGGCCTGGCTGCTGCCAGGGGAGGGGTACGGGGGTCCCTGCCTGTTCCCCTGTGGCGGCCAAGGGCTGCCTGGCATGGGTTCTGGTTGAGTCTGGTTAGGAGAAATGCAGTGAATGTGTTTGGCCCTTTGCACACCATGAAATCATTTCCCCTGCGGGTTACACTGCTGGGACTCTGAGACCTCCTCAAAGAACTCAGTGGATGGCATCCCCAGGACACCCACGCCCCTTTTTCCCCCAGGCCCTGTGGCCTAGCCAGCCCAGAGGTGGGTCCTCGGGTTTTTCAGCAGGAAGCCTGGAGAACGGCCTGGCTCCAAGTGAGGGCTGCTTGGGCCCTGCCTCTGGGGAGGGGCCGCGCCCAGGCTGGCAGAGATCAACCCTCAGGTTAGAGGAGCACAGCCATGAATATCTCAACAGTCACAGAACAACACTCACCTGCACCTGGTTCCCTTTAAAGCCCCACACCGGGGTACAGACCCCCACAACCCTAAGAAGGAATGTTCTGCAGCCAGAGGGATGGGGTGGGGGATGGGGGACAGGGCCTGGCTTCTCCAAACTTTTTGCTTTTAATTAGTTCTCTTTCCTCTGGGGGCAATGCCCCCATCAGAAAAGCTCCAGCAGTTTCCCTTATACAGAAAATGTTTGGGTTAGCTTTCTGGAAAACTGGGTGGTAGGGAAAAAAGAGAGTAAGAGAGAGTAGAGTGCAAGAGAGAGCGGGGGGCAGCCAGTGCCTGCTGGGAAGGAAGGTCCCTGCCTTCCTGGAGAAAGGGAGGCCCCTCTCCCCAAGGGCAGGGGGAGGAAGATTGCTCAGGCGTTGGAGGAATGAACACATGCACACGTGCACACACACACACACACATTCAGGAGACCCCAAGAGGAAGCAAGCCCCCCACCCCGCCCCCACCCCAAACCTCAAGGGCGCCTTTGGCCTGTGCCCAGGGGCCTCCAGGAAGTAAACAAGTCTGGGACGGTTTACGCACGCGCTGCAAGCCGGCCTGGGCCTGGCCTCGCTGGTGATGGAAGGCAGACTTGGGCAGGAGTTTCCAGATGTGAAATGCTAACAGGCTTTAATGGCTTCAACTGAACAGGAAATATTTTTCCCAAGCCAAAAGAATGTAATCTTTTCAGTACAATGTAAAATACTTTTATGAAAAAGGCGCACAGTTGAAATGATAATTCATTGCAGACTGTAAAGAAATTGAATCCCCAAACAAACCCCAAATTTAAGAACTCGCTTTAAGCATATGTTTGCTGTAATAACCACCCAAAAAACAGAAAACAGAGACCAAAAAAGGGGTACATCTTAAAGCATTCTTCTAGGGAAAATACTTAAATTATTCAGGATCTTGACTAAAAGCTCCAGTTCCCAGGGCTGCATGAACAGCGCACCATGCTCCTTGACCACTGCCTATCACCCACCCACTCACTGCCCATTAGCCATGGCCACAGCTGGGTCAGCCTTTGCTCAGCTGGGGAAGGCCTATCGCTCAAAGGCTTTCCCAGCACTTTCTGTCCACCCTATGTAAACAGCAATGCTAATTAATGAAGAATCTGAAAAGGGTCAATGCTCTGCACTTAATCACTAATTCAGTATCACCTAAAGAACTTTCTAAATACTACCTCACCACAAAGATTAGGAAAATTCTTTCATTTTAGCAAAGAATAACTTTTCTAGCAAAGAATGTAATTTTTCTCATATGGGGCTATTGTGATGAGAAACAATAATGAAGACATTTTAAATTTTATTAGCCCCACTCTTAAAAATTTCAACTTTACTGAAAGCCTCTCCCCGTCAAGAATTACATGGCATCATGTCATTGGAAAAGCTGGCTATAATCGTTTTTTTTTTTTTAGTAATGTGGGTCATCATTCTTGAGTTACAGTAAGACAATTCTTATTCATTGATATTGTGGGAAAATTTTTAAACATACAAAATTACAAAGTAGTGTCCCATTTTTGTTTTTCAAAAATGGCTAAGAGTAGGTATTTCTAGTAGAGAATGTTTTTATTTTTGCTTTATTTTTCACATATGGGATCTGGTTTTTCTCTTCACAAACCAATTTTCTTCTAAAAGGAACGTAATATAAAAAAGAATTCTTATTATAGAAGAAATCTGACAAGGGATGGAGGTTAAGTGACTTCTGGGCTTAGCAGAAAACATGCAGACTAGTTTGTGACC